TGGTGGTTCAAATCCATCCAGAGGCACCTTAGAAGAAAGGCCTGGTAATCTGCTTCCCGAAGGTCACAGCCTTGAGAACCCTAAGGAGCAGTCTTCCTCCTGCACACACATACACACGGGGCCACACGAGATGAAAGTGACTTGACAGTAACTGGTTTGGTTTTGGTTTTGGGGAAAGGTCTCAAGTCGCTCCCTGCAATAACCGGGCTGCTCACTTTGCAAGATTCGATGTCTACATCTCTATTTTTCTTCCTCACACTTTGTTTTGATCACCGGGGCTAGTGCTAACTGTGGGACACCTCTGTATAAATGAGAAAAAGGCACTTGTTCTCTGGGTGGATGCAGATCATGTCAGAGTGCACATATGGGTAAGGGGACAAATGGCTGCATTTCCACTCTGGTTCACCTCTCATCTGAGAGCCCTTGCACAGGGCACAACTTGCCCCCAAACATACAAACAGCCCTACTGATGTTATCAAGGAGCTCTGGTGGTATAGTGCCTATGGCATTTGATTGCTAACCAGAAGGTTGGCAGTTTAAACCCACCAGCCACCCTGTAGAAGGAAAACCAGGCAATCTACTTCTATAAAGATTTATCACCTCGGAAATCCAAAGGGGGTCGCTAGGAGTCAGAATCCACTTGATGGCAGCGATTTGGTTTGGCTGGTTTACTGATGTTATCAGGAGGCTTGGTAGTGCAGTGGTTAAACGCTCAAGTGCAGACTGAAAGGTTCAAACGCACCAAATGCTCTGTAGGAGAAAGATGTGGCTATCTACTTCCATAAAGATTGTTGTTGTTGTTGTTATGTGCTGTCAAGTCAGACCTGACTCAGCGACCCCTCCTTGGGTTTCTAGAGGCAGTATCTCTATGGAAGTAGATTGCCCATCTTCCTTCCGAGGAGTGGCTGGTGGGTTTGAACCGCCAGCCTTCTGGTTAGCAGTCAAGTGCCTTAGGCACTACGCTACCAGAGCTCCTCCATAAAGATTATAGTCTTGGAAATTCTATGAGGCAGTTCTACTCTGTCCTATAGAGTCACTGTGAGTTGGAATCAACTTGACAGCAATTGTTCCCCTACCCTGCCCTTTTTTTTTTCCCAGCTGAAATGTTTGGGTCTTTTCTCATAAGAGGAAATAGAGTCAGAAATGGAGAGCTAGGATAAGAAATGGGATCAGAGAGAGACCATAAGCAACAGTGGAGGCCTGGGAGGAAGAGAAAGGGGCCAGTCTAGCCTAGCTATCTGCCCAGTGTGCTGGCTCTGACCTGAAGCTGATAGGCCAGGTCAGCTTGTGCTCGGCGGGTGTTGACCTCGATGTCGTAAGCAGCCTTCTTCAACTCGTAGTCCCTCTGGGCCTTAGCCATCTCAATCTCACTCAGGTACTGGGCAGACACCTTTTCTTGCTTAGCTTTGGCCTCCTGTCCAGGCAGAGATCAAGTAGGAAACATTAGGGTAGGGAAAGGAAGGCCATAGGTATGATAGCATGCTGCCCACCAGGCTACCTTACTTGCCCCAAATTTAGCTTCATCTATTTCCCCTGTGAAGGAGCTCTGGTGGTGTAGTGGGTAAGACATTTGGTTGCTAACCAGAAGGTCAGCAGTTCAAACCCACCAGCTGCTCCACAGGAAGAAGATGAGGCAATCTATTTCTGTAAAGATTTATAGCCTTGGAAACTCAACGAGGGTCGCTATGAGTCGGAATCGACTGGACGGCCATAGGTTTGGGTGGATTTATTTTCCCTATGTAAGCCCAGTGCCACCAGCCCGTACTCAGTTGTGCCACTTCTCTCCCACCAGTGCCCAATAAGCCTATGAGGATGGAATGACCCAATCTCTCTCACCCGGATCCCAGCATCTCTCTTGGCCTCAGCTTCCCCAATTCGAGCATCTTTTTGGACCTGAGCAGTTCGAGCCTTCCCCAATGAGTGCAAATAGTCCTGTAGGAGAGATGCAGAGATCAGAGTCCCTGGGAAGGTTTTAAAAGATGGAAGTAGGGAGGCAGGGAGGATCAATTGCCTTTGTTTACCTGGTCATCGTGAATGTCCTTCAGAGTGTAGCTAACCACACTGATGCCCATGTTGACCAGGTCTGATGAAGCGACTTTGAAAACTTGTTCTGAGAATTTCTGCCTGTCCTTATATATCTCCTAGGATAACAGGATGGTGGGAAGGAGGAACTTAAGCTCTCAGATTCCCTGACCATTGTCTCCTACAGACAGATCCATTTAGTTCTTGGGACCCACTCATTCTGGCATCCCTTCCAAAACTTTTCTTGGCCCCAGGCCCTAGCCCTCAGGCCCACCTCCACAGTCATGTGGGCCATGATGGCCCTCTGGTGGCCCTCCAGTGTCTCCAATGCAATGTGGGCAATCTCAGCCTCGGTCTTACCCAGGAACATCTGGCAGGCGGCTGCCAACATCTCCTTGTTCTGTCCTTGGATTTTCACCTGTAACCAGAGTGGATATAGGGAGGCTGTGGTGGAGGTCTTATGAAGCCAGGGAGGAAATCCTCAAAGGAAAGCATCTTCCAACTCAGGGATAGAAAGGAGGAGCAGTCAAGTGTCCTGGGGGTGCCTAGAGAAGGTGAGACTAGCAGAGAAATTTCTCTTCAGTCATCAAAGGTTGGCAAGGCCACAATCAGACTCAGTATCTGGGAGAGAAAGGGTGATGGGGAAGTGAGCTTTGGGGGAAAGGCTCTGAAAGCCTCACCTGGGCAATGCCAGTGACTGAGATGGGGACCCCGTGGCGAGTATAAACCTTTTCACTCTTGACATTGAGGGTTAGTGTGTTGAGAGAGATCCTAGGGGAAAAGAAAGTACAGACAGTGAGAAGAAGAAAACAGAGAGAAAATGGAGATCCCCCGTCCCTGGTTCTCTCCATACCTACCTCTGGATTTGCTGGATGCAGGGCAGGACAAAGACACGACCTCCAGCCACCATGACAGGGGGGCTTCTGCAGAAACCTGCAAGGTGAGGAGTAGTGAGTGGTCATGGCTGTGGGAGAGCTGGGATGTGAAAGACTCTGAGGAACTGAGGGGTGGGAACAATCCATTGGAGGGAAGCCTGGAGCTGGAGGAGGAGCAGTCCAGATCTGGAAGGGTAGTGGCTGGGAATGATAACTGATATGGCAAGCTGCCATCAGGGTGCAGAAGGCTTGATCTGGGGAGCTGAAGGGAAAGGGGGAGTGTATAGGCTGGATTCACAGAGGTTTTGGGGTCAATGGCTGAAGAAGAACAATACATACCGGAGACTACCATAGCCTCATTTGGGCCACAGGTGAAAAACATGGTTCAGGGCGGAGCTAGAGGAGAGAGAGAGAGATAGGGCCTCTGCAGATGGGAAGGGGGGCTGTGGCATCGGCTGGAATCAGTCCTTTTCCTTCCCGGCATCCCTACTCGGTTGGCATCCGCTATGGCCCAGGCCCTTCCATACCCGTGAGCCTGCTAAGGCTTTCCTCTGTGCAATCACACGGACCCCCAACGACCCACTCTCCCGCCTGCTAACGACCATTCCTTTCCCCTGGATGCGTCCCTCCACCGGTGCGGACGTCTCCCCTTAATCGCAGAAAGCTCTTCAGCGCACAGGGATCCTCCCGGATCATTTCCCTCCTCCAAGCTTGTCTGCAGCCCCAGATCCCGCCTCCCCTCCCCCACTCACTTACCCGGACGCAGGCAGCGGCCTGCAAGGGGCTCGGGAAGGGCAGGGGTGCGCAGGGCACCCCCAGGAGCGGAATAGGACCCGCTAGAGTGCGGAACTTGTGTAAGCCACACCCGCAAACGAGCGTGCGCCCCGCGCCTGACCGCACCCTGTTGCTGCGGCAGACGCGACCCCGCCCCCAGCAGTGGACCAACCCCCTGCCCGGGGCCTGGCTCTCGTTCCGCCCCGTTCCCGGCAGGCTTCGCTCGGGTCTGCAGCCCGCCCGGGCCAACAGCAGGGGGCGGGGGTAGGAGAAGAAGGGATGGGGGAAGACCGCCTGGGAGCCGGGGTGGAGCCCCTAACGCCGTCCTTCCGGAACAGAGCTCCGCCCAGTTGTCTTTCCGCTCGCCCCGGGACGTGGGACGTGACCTTCGTGGGTTGAGGTGTCGGACACCCATGGTGAGGAGGTTGCCTCATTTCGGATTAGCCCACGGAAACTGACTGGGAAAACCGCAGACTTGACCACGCATGACAGCATCCTGTGGGCGGATGCCAGGGTCCGGGACTCCGGGGTCACAGGAGAAACAAGGGTTGGAGACCTGGCCAAGGCCCCTAGCTCAGATCTTTGGCGCCTGAAGGCGAGCAGGGACTGGGGAATCGGCGCTCGCAAAGACACACGCAAATGACAACTGAGAGTAAATCAAGTTTATTTGTGTTCACAGAACATACAAAGCGACCCCAACAGCCGCACTCTGACAGCCCACCGACCCTCGACCTCGCAGCCACCCCTTAGGGGCAACTTCGGAGAGATCAGGGAATCAAAGGCCATGGACCTTATCCCCAACGGTCCACCAGAGCCTCACACAGTAGGCCCGGAGGAGTTGAGACTTAGAGAACAGAGAGTGTCACCCCCTAAAGCTACCACCCACCACCATCGTGGACTCCCAGCTTGAGCACCCTACCCAACCCGCGTCCTCACCGTTTCCTCATCTAATTTCCCTCAGTTTTAGGCGCCCCGTCTTGCAACGCCACAACTACAACAAATACCAAGAGAGCTGCATTTCCAGCAGGGGGACACATCTCGTACCCTGCATAAGTTAAAATAAATATCACATACACCCCTTCATCACCTCGGGGGACATAATATAAATACACATAAATATTAATTAGGAGCAATGAGAAATAAATTAACGACGCTCTCTCCCCGCTCCGCCCGGGCCTAGATCGGGGGACTCTGCATCAGCCGGCTTCTCTGCTGTAGTGTTGAGTTGCCTCGGTAGTCCCAGTTTGGGATACGGCCTCGCGCCCCAGGTACGCCTGGTGTTTCTCTGTTTTTTTCAGATTCGTATTTTTGGTGGTGAGGCGTATCGGGTCAGAAGGCGGCCGGGTGTTGCTGGAGGAAAGTACTGAGGTCCAGAGCGTAGTCTGAGGACTCTGAGGTCAGATTAAGCGGCTCGAAAACTGGGGGCACATGGATGGGCGCAGGGGAAGTGTCACTGGGGGCGTCTTCCGAGGCTAGGGGCACCGGCACCCCTTCTTCGGCCATCAGGATCTGGCAGAAGATGATGGTGAGTAGCAGAAAGAGAAGCCTTTTGGCAGGATTTGGTTCCTCGACTGGCAGTTGGCGCCGGACCTGAGAGAGAGAAGAAGGGACAGATCAGGTCAAAGCCCTGAACTTCAGGCGGTTCTTCCACAGCGTCAAGGTGGCGCGCTCCGCGGCTGCCCACTTAAGCAACACTTACCACTCGAGGGTAGAGGACCCTGCGGCTGCGCTTGCGGGGCCCGCGACAAGAGCTGGGACGCAAGGCGGGGGCCGCCGCGGGCTCCGGGAGAGGGTCGAAGGTGAATATCTCGGGACCGGATCCTCGCCGGGGCTCCGGGCTAGTGGCGGGGACAGGCGTTGGGGCTCGCAGGACAGTCATTGTAGGCAGGGAGCTGCGGGAGTGACACATGTCGCCCTGAGCCGAGCGGAAGGCGGAGTGCGGACAAGCAGCTCGGCGGAGGTAGATATGCCCGCGGAGAGACAGGGCGGCTCCTCCTCAACTCCTCCCCCGCGGGCCGGGGAGCCTCAGGCAAGAGACGGCTGGAAATTCCAACCATTAAACTGTGGAGGGTGGAGACTTGGTTTGTGCAACCCTAGGCGCCAAGTGTGTTGTGTGTGTGCGTGTCGTGTGTGAGTTGTGAGTGGGGGTGGCGAGATCCTGGGCTGCGGACATATGTCGGGACACGTGGCAGCTGGAGTGAGGCCCATATACACGCATAGGAGGTGGCTCAGCCACCAGACGCATCACAAGACCCATCACTGGGGGAGGCAGAAGGGCTTGCAAAAGAACGTCGGGCTGTTTTGCTGCTGTAAGGACCCGGTAAGGTTAAGGAGTCACCGTTACACATGCATGCTCACATACTTGTAGGTACATGTGGAAAAACACCCCAGGGCAGAAGTCATTACAGAAACAACAAAGGAGACTAATAGAAATTAACACACTAGGACACATAGTCACAGCCCTGCCTGCCTTAGCATGCAGGAAAACACACACACACAGACCATGCACACACCTAACACATCATATATACACATCCCACTAGCACACACACATACACACCCTACACACATTACACCACACACACAACACATAACACCTCATTTGTGCACACTATGCATCTACACACACCTTATGTACACACCACATATGTACACCACACACACATACGCACCACACATACCACTCACACAAACCACACACATAGACCCTACCCAGCAAAAGTTCAGAGATTTCACTGCATTGAATCCCCAAGAGTATGGCCCTTAGGCACCCTTGGAGCCGTGAACTGCACTCATCTCTACAGCTCAACTTTCACCCAAACAATGGATAGGCCTGCAAAGTGAACCTTAACACCAGGGAGGTATGCACTGCTTAGAACAATCAACCAAACAAGATCAGAGCAGCATTTGCCCAAGGATAAGGCTCAAAAGACAGGGATAAGAAAGAAATGGGGAAATACAGGGAGGGAATGGGATAAATGCTGTTAACATTGTGGAGATTGCAATCAATGCCACAATCCAAAGGTATATGGAATGCTAATTCAAAAACAAATTTGCTCTTAAAACTTTCACCCAAATTACAATAAAAAGTTAAAAAAATAAATTCACTTTACCAGAGACAACCCTGCAAAGCTACTCAGTTAAGTGTGTACAGGAATATTCACAGTCTTGTGCAGAGGACTTCAAAATACAAAGGCAAGGGGTCAGCATCCACACAGATTTGTCCCTTGCTATGTGCATCAAACAAAATTTATGTGAACTTTTCAAACTGTAAGGCATTATATAAATGTAGTAATGGTAGTCACCAACTTAAGACCAAATGGACACATTTTTGTAACTGCTTGTTACTGATCGAATTATGTTTCCAAAGAAATATGTATTATAAATCCTAACCTCAATGCCTGTGGTTACAATCCCATCTGGGAATGGGTTGTCTTTGTGACATTAATGAGGCAGAATTAATATAGGGTATATTTTGAGTCATCAATCTCTTTTGAGATACAGATGAGATTAAACAAACCAGCAGAGCAGAAATGGGGGAAGATTGATGTCAAGCCACATGGATCTCCAAGGAAGCAAGGAAACAAGCTGAAGAGACAAAGACCTTCCTCCACAGGGAACAGAAAGATAAAGACTTCCCCCAGACCCAGTGCTCTGAATTCAGACTTCAAACCCACCAGCCACTCCTCAGAAGGAAGACTGGGCAATTTACTTCTGTAGTGATACTGCCTCAGAAACCCAAGGAGGGGTCGCTATGAGTCGGGTCCGACTCGACGGCACATAACAACAACAACAAGAACAATACTTTGAGAATAGAAATTTCTGCTTGTTAAAGCCACCCACTCATGGTATTTCTGTTATACCAGCCCTAGATAACTAAGATACTGCATTAGAGACAGTTGCTTATGGATATAAAATGTAACATATTTGAGTATTCACCTGCGCCAGGCACCCTGTTAAAAGGTACTGTTGAAAGTACTGAGGTTAGTTTCAATGTGAAGTGAGTGAAGCAAGCTAGATAAAGTTGACACCTCAACCTTGAGAGGCTTCCCTTCTGTTGTGGGAGGGGACCATGACTAGGAGAACTCTCTTGCGGGTCTTAAGGAAACTTAAGACTAAGTATTAAGGGGGACTTAAAAGAGTGTTCACGCCCCCCATCTAATAGGTCAGAGAATGCTTCATGAAAGAGTGGCATTTGTGATAACCTTGAACAGTGGGTGGGATATGACAGATTCAAATGTGGAGTATGACTGTGTGAGAAAAAGAATGGAATCAGCAAAGGCCTTGAGCTGGAAAAGTACAGGATGTGTTTAGGGAATTGTTAGAAAAACAACCTTACAGTAAGTTTCCTGTAAAAGAGTAGTGGGTGGTAATGTCTGGAAGAAGTTGGGCAAAATGGGGTGAGCTTAGTTGCCAGGCTAGGAGTCTGGGTTTAACTCCAGATGCTTTGTGGGCCAGAGGCTATCATAAAGGAAGGATTTCAAGTTGGGTACTGGCTGGGATGAGGAATATGTCCTGGATGGGGAGAGATTGAGGCAGGAGACAGGAGGCTGTTGGAGGGGTTCATGTAGAAGGTCATAGGGCCTGAAGTGGGCCATGGCAGAGTGAAGGGGTGGCTGGAAGAGACATTTCTAGCATACAAGCCAAAACCAAACTAGTTGCTGTCAAGTCAACTGGACCCCATGTGTGCCAGAGTAGAACGTGCTCCATAGGTTCTCTGTGGCTGTGATCTTTCTGAAGTAGATCACCAGGCTTGTCTTCTGAGGCACCTCTGCTTGGATTTGAACCTCCAATCTTTCAGTTACTAGTTGAACAGTTAACTGCACCATAGATTTTGGCAATGGGATAGATGTTATTATGGTCAGGGAGCAAGGGTAGGAGCAAAATGGGGCACTGACAGCAAAAGGTAGAAGGGACCAAAGATAATTCCAGGAATTTGAAATGTATTATGCATTATGCCTGAGGCCCAGATGCAGACATGTATATCTTTTGTTAGAGGCTGTGTGGTGCAGTCTTTGTGTCTTCCACAGAGCCCAGCTTGATGTCTTGCACGGAGTAGTTGCTCAGTCATCTTGCTAAACGAAAGATGAAAAGGCAAAACTATAAGTGCACATACAGTATTCATACACTGACTTGATACGCCAGGTTTTTGAGACGGAAACACACTTCTCTGAACCCCACATACAAATTTACAGTATTTTAAGGAAAGCTGAAGGAGCCTGGGTGGTACAAGTGTGACAGCTACCAACCTAAACGTTGGCAGTTTGAACCCACCCAGTGGCTCTGTATAAGAAAGGCCTGGCAATCTGCTTTTGTAAAAATTACAGCCAAGAAAACCTTATGGAGCAGTTCTACTCTGTAACACATGGGGTCAAAATTGACTTGATGGCAGTGGGTTAAGGAAAGTAGGGACAATTCTTCTGTAGATGCCAAACCAGAAACAAAAAGGGCTATTTTTTTTTTTTTTTTTTGGTACCGAGGATGTGTGGGGAAGAAACAATGGGACTGTAAATACATTATTGCTGTATATACAATTACTTCCTGGCCGTATATGGCACTTTAATTGACACCCACAACTCTTATCTAAACACATGAGATCTCTTCTGCATTACACATTTCTTCCTGATCATAAAACACACCCTCTCTTCAAAGATACCCCTTTCCCATGCCTGCCTTTCACACCTGCCATCATTCTTACATTCACACCCAGAGCACTCCCACTCACACCTTTATTCCAAAGCAACTCACACAGTATACAGTTGCCTGCATCAATACAGAGCTACTCACACATGTAGCCAGACCCACAAGTTCAACATAAACTGCAAGAGGGGAGATAGTGATGATTGAAGAAAATTGCTGGTAGAAAAAAGCAGGAGGCAATTAAGGACAGGAATGCATAACTTGTTTATTATGGAAAATTTCCCAGGGCATTAGGGAAGGGTGGGAAGGAAAAATGAAGGGGGGGGGGAGTTGGGATTTTGTTTCAACACTACTTCCCACATCTGGAATCTGGGTGTCCAGCTGGGCCTAGTTGTCCTCGCTGTCCTTCCGGCATAGAGAGACCTTTCTTTGTGGCCCAACCAGATGGGACAAAGAGAAGACTCGAGAACCCAGTTTGCTCACCATTCCTTCTTAACCAACTGTGTCTAGAAGGCTGGCAGTTCAAACCCACCAGCCACTCCTCGGAAGGAAGGTTGGGCAATCTTTCATAGTGATACTGCCTCAGAAACCCAAGGATGGGTCGCTGTGAGTAGGACTGGACTCAGACGACAGTGCATGCATGTGTGTGCGCAGACCTAGGGTTCTGTCCCCACTCCCTCCCTGCTACACCAGAAGCCAGGGAAAAGTTTGGAGTGAATCATTAATCATTAAGCCCCAAGGAAATTGTGAGGGTGAATGAAGGCCAGAAAGTTCTAGGGGCTGAGACCAGTGGCTGGACTGTTTACCACGGTTCCAGCCCTAGAGAAAGAGGCCTGAGCCCCTTCCAGTCTCACCTCTCTTCTTCCTCCTCATGTTTTTCCCATCTGCCCTAAGATCACTGTGTTCCTTCATTCCTTTCTTGTGATTTGTTATCTCTTTTGATCTGTTATCTGTTATCTACTAACCTCTTTCTCAACCCCTTGTTTTCTTCATAGCACTTACTACAACAGGGTATCATTTTAGGTATTTATTTATTTTTGTTATTATTTATCCCCCCTACTGCAATATAATCTGCATGAGTATGCATGACCTCATCTGCCCTATTCCCCATTGTGTCTCTGTCCTATCTTCAGTGCTTTGCCTGGCACATAAAAAACCAAAACCATACCAGTTGCTGTTGAGTCAATTCCAACTAATGGCAACTCCTCAAGTGTTACAGGGTAGGAAATGCTTCATAAGCCACTGCCATCAAGTTGATTCCAACCTATA